CAGAATTTAGCTTTAACTAGTGATCGATATACTCAGAGGGAAAATTGAAAAAAAAAGTTCTTTGTTAAGGGAATAACGTAAAGCAAGAAGAAAGAACTATTAACTGTAAGAAGATTAGAATGTATCGTTGTCAGTAAAAGAGACAGCCCAAGGTGTGCAAACTACATATTGGGGATGTCAAAATCACACTGGTATAGAAATTCAACTATCTGGGTAGGGTAGTAGCAGACGACAGAAAATATGTCACAGAAATCCAAAGGCTCATTGGAATAGCGAAATATATCTTGCAGAAAATAAGCAAAATTACAAGAAAATAGCCTTAGAAACAAAGATTGCTGAATTTCTGTGTAATAACTAATCTCCTGCATAGCTTGAAAAATTTCTCTCAGCTGAAGGCATGAAACTTGTATTTGGTAACTTGAAACAATGAATGAGTCAAGGCAACATTATAAGAGCATTTCTAATTAAAGCATTAATCAATTGAAGGTTTAAAAACATTAATTAGAAGTATAAAATAAAGACTATAGGGCGGGAGTGGGCAACCATTTTTTTGTCATCGCCTACTTTCACATAGAAAAATCTTCCTCCGCCTACTTGTATAGTAAATCAATATTTACTATACAAGTAGGCGGAGGAAGATTTTACGCATACCAAAAATGTTTGGTAAAAGTTTGTTACTGGTTCATAAACTGACTTTATGATGCAGTAAAACAAATACCAATTAGAGGTAAAAAAAATAACGCTAACTTATGCGGCGGCTGTTGCTGCTACTGCCATATTAAAGAACGAACGAAAGCAAACATGACCATTGAAAGCTATATATAGTTTAGTTTTATGATCACGGTTAGTTTAGGGTTAAGGTTGCAAATATTGAAAAAATTAAACGAGTTTTGTTGATACTTATAAAATTAAAAAGAATATACACTAGTAGTTACTAATATTTTTTGTTGGTCTTGGTCTTTACTTATCTGATTTACATTCGAAAAATATTATTTCATCTGAACAACTATTTGAATGTTAATAACCCTTCTTAAAAGTAGAGAAAATACCAAAATATTCCTTGGAATAGAAATATGATACAATTATTCCCATTTAGCCACCTATTTTTTTTTTTTGTTTTTTTGTTTTTGATTTTATACAACTTCTTTGCATATCTCCTTCAAATAGTTTTTTGGCTACCATATGTCGAAATACATTTATAATACTCAAAATCATATCTCGTCCTCCAAAATTTACAATCGCCCACTATTTTCTGTTCAGATGCTTATCACCCACCCAATAGTTGAAATCGCCCACCGGTGGGCGATATCGCCAAGTTTGGGAAAGTCTATTTATAGGGAATGTCAAAGTGAGTTGAAACAGAGAATAACATTTCATATATTTATCAAATTAGAAGGAGTTTCATCCAAAATTGTGTGAGAATTGGTCGGAAGCACACACACACACACAACAAAAAACAAAACAAAAAAAACTCTATATAAGTCCAATGGTCAAAACAATGCTTCACAGTCCAATAGGCAAATCAATTCCACGAATGCTGACTATCTTCATTTCTCAATCTTAGGTATGCAACTCCTCTCGCCAAAAAACAAGCCTGTCTGAATGAGCGTAGCGTGCTTTTATGCTCCTGACCAGCCATCGCTCAACCAATGAGCGCCCAGAACCAACCAATAAAAATGGCTACAAGCGACACAAAGTGCTGTCCACACGCGACTCTGGCCCTTTTGGGTCGCCGAGGTAAGTCTCCGCTACAAAAATACATTTCTTTCTTTCTTTCTTTCTTTCTATCTATATCCACTCTGTCAAAAGTGCCCCCCTTAGAACCCGAGTAGGTAAAGATAAACATTAGAATTCTGGGGAAACAAATAAGGTAATTCCAAACTGGTTAAATATTGGTAAAAATAAAATCCTTGAGTAACACTAGACAAATGCTTAAATCAGAAAACATTTGCTAAATTTCTTATATCAACCAACGACTTATAGCAGCAACAAAAATAGCTGGAGTACGCTGCTAGTGACTTCTACTGTCTGTCATCCAACTGAACACACAATTAAAGTTGTCCTTCGAACACAAAGACAGAGAGAGAGAGAGAAAGAGGAAAAAGAATCGACTGATTGATTCATTTTCTATGGTTTGTCAACCCTTTGCTAGTTATTTAAATCCAGAATATATATTTTTACATTGTAAGAATTTTTTTTAGATAACAATGGTTTAGTGATACGAATCATACTAATTAATCCATAGCTGCGAGAAGGAGAGGTGGATTTATACCTTTCTAATAGACATCTGCACGTAAGTGAATATAACGAACCCAACGGGAATTGGAACTCAGCTCTCCGATTAATAATTTCGAGCTATTATCCATTACACCACCCTCACATCCATGCTTACAGCAAACGGTATTCCCAAACAGTTACCTATCTAAGTACTAACCAGTGTCGACGTTGCTTACCTTCAGGGATCGTACGGGAACTGGTGTTTCAACGCGATAAGGCCATAAGCCAGGAGAAAGAGGGGGGCAGAGAGAGAGAGAAAGAGGGAGAAAGATGGGGAGAGGGAAAGAGGGAGAGAGTTGTTGTTTCAAGCCACATGCAATCAACATTTAGAAGTTCATTATCAATCTTTTTTTTTTCTGTTCCTTTTAATTCTCTTTAATTACTCTATTTGACTATTGTCCTTTATTTGTTATTATTCCAACGTTTCGGACTTTGTGACCTCTGACCTTCGTGAGGTGTTTATCGATCCAGGTAACTTACAGAGTATTCCGAACTGGAATAAATAAAAGATTCAGTTTGGAATTCCATTTAGTTTACCCAGATCGAAAGAGAACTGATGAAGGCCTGAGGGCACAACGACCAAACCTTTTTTTTTTTATATACGAGCTGCTTTTACGACATTGCTTCTAAGTTTAAATTCGTATAGAAAACAAGCTTCCACAATCTCACAACCAACATTTTGCCTGCCATATCGATGTTACTCGTTATTACTGTAGGTATACTCTTATTGGTTTAGTTTCGTTTGGTTTCTTTTATTTTAAGGCATATCAACCTAAATAGGTTATTTAATACCGACAAGATTGTTATTGCTGGTAATATTTTTTTCAAAAAAAAATTGTTGGTGATATTTTTTCAAAAATCTATTGTTGGTAATATATTTTTTTCAAAAATGTATTGTTGGTAAAAAATTTTATAAAAAAGTATTGCTGGTATTAAATCCTATTTTTATACCTTCATAGTGTTTTGACCCCTTTTGGTGTGGGGCGGGGTAACTATTTGCCCATAGCTGTGACCCTAACAGGTTCTCCCACCACGGGCCAGGATGGACCTTGGAACAGTAACAATGATGAGGACAACAGTCCGAATGTAAACAGTGTTAACTCCGGTGCAAGTTATCATTGCCGATAAGTAATATTTTGCAGATAAAATTTCCAGTGAAGTTCAACAGACGATACACTATGGTTTAGTGGGGATTTAAGATTCTTACTAAGCACATCACTACCGCCAGACCATTCAATTTTAACAAATTGTTTTTCAGGTGCAGCTGTGAGAATCGACCAAGTAACTGTCAAGTTACGGTGAAGCAATTGCATCTTCATTTGATGCTTGCCAGCGATGATGAACCGTTTATACTTGAAGCGGCAAAGATTTTGGTTTTACCGGTGAAGATTAGAATATCATGGACAGAATAGGTGAGCAACGTAAGTTTTACTGAAAATAGGAACTGCAAGAAAACTGATACTTACAATCAGAATGAGACAAATGAAATTTTTTAATCATTTCACCCTAGTAAGGCGATAATGCCACTAAGACGCAAGGAGTTACTGGGTGTGAAAGAGAATGAGAATACTTTAGTGAGAAGAAAGAACAATGAAAAAACAAGATTCAAGAAGACAGAAGATGGCGACTGAAGCAGCATTTTTGAAGATTGTGCGTAGCAGGAAAGCAAGAAAGCGAAAGTCACAGAGGTAAGAGGTACAAGAAAAAAATTATTATGGTTATATCTAGCTATTTTAAGAATAAAACGGTGAGACCTAACTGCCAATCTAGTAGTACGTTTCAGTTCATGTTCCCGCGGTAGCACGACGTAGAGCTCATTAGAACAATTGCCATGGAAATATTTATAGAAAAGACAGAGGGAAGCCATGTCACGATGGCGAGAAAGAGACTGAAGTCGATATGATAGGTGGGTCACATGATGAGGAAAGTGAACCCGGATAGTTGAACACTCACAGGAAAAGTTAAAAGAAACTGATGGAAATACGAGTCACTTAGAACGACAAAAGATAGGAAATTGTGGAGAGCTATGATCGTCCGTATACTGAAGGGGCATAGTAAATAAAAGAATAGGGAAAAGAGAACTGAAACAAGTTAATCTAGCGTCGACTCCCGAGCAAACAAGTACGAACAAAGCGGGGCAATTCATTCTCCGATGGGGTGCCGAAAAGTTCTACGTTCGCCTGTACCTCTTCCCAGATCCTGAACAAACAACAAAACAATATTTTTTTTTTTTTTTTTGGGGGGGGTCTTTCTTCATGGTATGTTCGAGAACTTTTCAGTACATCATCATCATCATCATCATTCTCCACAATTCCCTGTTCTATGTAGCCGTAAATAAAACTTGTCTTTTTGTTATCTCTCCTAATCCCTGTTTTGCCAACCATTTACACAAGCTCATCTGGTCGGTTATTCGCTTTTTTTCCTTCTGTCTCTCTTGCCTTCAATATGTCCTGTGAGTTTCAAATTCTCTAAACCCTCTTTCCTCGTTATGTGTCTTTTAACTGTCTCTTTCTGATTCTAAGCTTAATTATCCTTTTTGTTTGTATTTCCCTTAACTTCGTCGTTGCTCACATGTTCATTCCATGATATTCTTCTGTAGAACCACATTTCTCCTGCCTCAAATCTTTTCTTCTTCTTTGAAGAGATTATCCAGTATTCATTGCAATATAGGAGGACCGACATTACATAACAGTTATGCACTCTTTTTCTTTATTTACAATAAAAATTTTCCTGTGTCTTAATACATAGCTTAACTTTTGGAAGGAACCTTTCGCTATTCTAATTGAGTCCCAAATGAAAGGGACAATATCAAATGGACTTTATTTATTTATTTATTTATTTATTTTGGTTATAACCGTATTTTAACAATTTCTTATTTTTTTCTCTCTTTCTCTTGCCTACTTGAAAACTTGATTCAATTAGATGAAAGATGTTTCGTCATTTTTATCTTTGTCACGATTAATATTTTCTCATAACATCTTTATTCTTGTGTCTACTTATTTATTTCTCCGTGTTGTCCAGCAAATCGAATTGCTCTCTGAGATTACGAAAGTAAGACGAAAAATAAATCATATCAATTATTTTAGTGATCGGATGTCGCTTGGCATACCACTGTCCGATTTAGAATTTTTAAATATCAGTTTTCTTGTGTTTTTGCTAGTTTTTTTTCCTTGTTCATTCTTTTTAAAGACTTCCTCTTCTCTTAGGAAAACACATTCATTTCTTCTTCTTTGCCTTATTCCTCCTTCTTTTTCACTAATCTAACAATACCTCTATAAATATATATATATATTTAACTAACTTTGCATTGTTTATATTAGGTCGAGTCAGAACTAATTTCCGTTTTGGGGAACCAATTGTAATGGCGAATATATCATATTAACTACTAATCATAAGTAACAGTCAAGTATAAGTTTTGGCGTAGACTAACATACGACAATGTTCAATACAAAAGGCAGTAGACTGGCAAGAATAATTCTCTAAAACTGATCTCAAAGGCAGAGCTCCATGGAAGAAAGCTAATTTCGTGGGTGTGGTAGGATCAGCGGGGTATTATTCATTTAGAATTCTTTGAACACAAAAACTGTAAATATGCATTTATATATCCTGCTGATGTAACGAGTCCGCAAACGTTTAGTCGAAAAGCACCCTGCGTTCATCAACAGGAAAAATGCTGTTCTACTCCATGACAGTACAGGGACACGTACAGGAAGAATATCGCAGTAAAAAGCTTTGAATTTGGCTTGGTCTGTTTTGCCTGCATCCGCCATATTCACCTAATCCTGTATCAACTGATTATTACCCCTTTTTCAATCGCTGCAAAATCCTCTTATGGGGAAAACATTCTCTAATGTAAATCAGATCCAAGAGTTCGTCAAAAAAATTTTTTTCACTTCAAAACACGCAGAATTTTACTCAAAATATATTAAAGAGCTGCCTGATAAGCGACAACAAGTCATTGCAAATAATATCGAAAATATAACTGAATGAAAAATTATTGTACTTTTACTTTTAATTTTTTTGAACAATAAAATTGACGGACGAAAATAGAAATTATTTATGACAAATATTTTCTATATGAGACATCTACGAAAGTTATACATGCAAGAAACTTTATTGTCGCATGTAATAAAGAATTCTGTTTTTAAATTATTAAAAATCTAAACATTAAAATGAATACTTAGACGACACAAAGATAAAAATTCAATGTATCAGCGGCCTAATCCCCTACACTTACAAAAGAGATATTCTTTTATGGTAATATGAGGCATGTTCGCTTATTGGCATTGGTTGTTGTCTGACATTATCAAAGCAAAAGAATATCTTATTTCCCTAAATTAGGGGAAAACAGGATGTGTTAACGATATATATAAAGTCATATTGTTTTATATTATAGTATATATTCCTTCTCTCTGATTTTCTCTCTCGTCTATTCGTGCTTTGACATTTTTTTTTCATTTTTCTTTTCTTCTTCTTTTGAGATTGAAATTATTTCTTTCGGTAGAAGAAATCGTCGTTTTTATGATTTATTTATTCTATTTACATTGTTCGGACTATCGTTCTCAACTTTGTTGCCATATTTATCACAACGTTTCGGCCATTGTACGCCCCGGCCTTCTTCAGATGGTTGGAACAATGTAAATAGTGTACATAATACCTCATCTCGGAAATATACACAGATACTTTCTTTCTTCTATTTTTAATTTATTCTCCTCGCCTCGTTCTTTTTATCTCGTTCGCTTTTTATTCCCTATCTTTCCAACTTCTTTTTATCTTTCTTCTCACACCTTTGTTCCCCTTTTATCATTATATTCATCGCTTCCTAACAACAAAATATCGCCGAGTGAAATCCTTTACTTTCTCGAGACGCGAATAAACGCATGTTACTTTGATTCCTTGTCTATCAAGAAGATTTAATTTTCCTATTATTGTGTTCGTATCTGTCTGCGCATGCGCGTTTCTTGGCGAAATTATTGGTCATTCTACCGTAACTTCATTAAGTCGTCGTCATTCGTGAGGATCCGGTTCCTTACGTGATACATTCGAGGTTTTCTTTCTCTCTCTCTCTTCTCTTTAAGAATATTAACCAAGAAAGTTTACTGGTGTCATTGGAAGTGTGTTGAAGTGTCCTTCGTCTGTCCGTGTCCTCTAATGTACAAACAGAAGTGATTGTATTTTCTTGGACGTGTGAAGTCGTAAGCTTTATCATATATTTTATACGCA